GTTCCTATTACTTATACGTGAATAGTCTAAACTAATACTGAAACAAGAACGGTAGAGAATTAATTGTCTTTGGTTTACATTTAAATAAAGTTACACTAACGGATATAAAGGAAAATCATTAATTTACTTAAATCAAAGTTTCAAGTGTGTGCCAATAAAGGGAAATATTTATGTCATGTCTGATTTTAACCTACGTTATCAATGATATAGCTTTATAATTTTATTTAGCAGTGTTGGCGTAGTGGCTTCAGGGTTAGAGTCCCATCCCTGCGGTCGTAGGGTTAACCTCCGGCGGTGGACCAATGGACTTTCGGTCTAGGTATGTATATAACAGTCGCTCATAAGATGAAGGAACATCGTGAGGAAACCAGCATGCCATAGAAACAAAGAGTCGATGGCGTGTCAGGCACAAAAGGATAATCACCATAGACATTTTCTATTAGAAAAACAAATGATGAATAGATACAGAAATGTGAAGCTCAGATAGTTTTTGTTATTTCTTTTATTCTCTATTCTTTTCTTATTTATACTCATTCGTTATTATTTTCTTATACTAACTTAAACTACTTCCTAATAATAATATCGTGAACGCGTCTTAAAAAATCTGAACGAAATTATATTTAATCAAAACTGTATCAACTCGAAACTATTACTGCTACCCTAAGGGTCTGTTTCACAATGTATGGATAAAGTACCAAATAGCTATGCAACACATATTATTTGGAAGATAAATTGTGCTATTTGACATTCATCGAACTCATAGCTTATGATGGACTTTATGTGACGAATAGCTCTATCTGACAGTCGTGAAACGCAACAATAGTGTTTATCCTACCAATAAGTAATAAATAGCAAATTTGGAACTTATGTAGAACTTATCCGTACATTGTGAAACAGACCCTAAGCATTATTAATATTCATGGTTTAAAGTTTTTTGTATTTAGAGAAGACATCTTTTAAAATAATTGTCACAAATGAGTCATAAGATAGGGAATTAATGAACAAGGAGTTGATAAGCGATTAGAAGCATTTCAATTATAGGCGGTGCTACTTTTATGAAGTACCGATGACCCCGGGTCATGTACCTATCATAGCTGTCAACAGACCAATACTAATTTGTTATTATATTATGGATTCCAACTGTAAAAAATATGAGGGTTAACGTAGTGAATGTTTGGTATCTTTAGAGAAATATTCTTGGTAATTATTTATTATTTATTTGTCTTGATTCGTACAGCTAACATAAATTATATACAACTAAAAACCATTTAGCCAAATATAGAATACATAACACGAGAATTCATACAAAAAGGTTCAATTTACGAAAGAAAAAAAAAAAGAAAAATTATTAAATACGTAATACCTAATTCGGCTGTGCTGTGTGATGGTGTGAAAGTGATGGTATGTACGTGAGGGTGTGTATGTGGGGTGTGCTCATGATGAAAGTAATTTTGCGCTATGGATATTCTTATACTCCTTTTAAGCATATTCCGCGATAGCTTAAACCAGTCACGCCTTAAAAATTGGTCGTTGCGTATCCGGGCTGCGCGAAACAAAACTTATGATTGTATTTAAAGTTTAAAAAATATGTGACAAAATAATCTTTTGCAATGACCGGCTCTGACTTCATCTTCGGAGATAGTAAACATGTAAGCCTAATGCCTGTCTGCGAAACTCAACCCTGAAGAAGCTTCGTAGCTGCGAAGGATTTTTTTTTTTGATTGGACAATTCACACCAATTTACCTAGTCTCATGCTAAGCTGGTGAAGCTTGTGTTATGGGTACTAGGCAACGGATATACATACATATTATAGATAGATAGACATATAAATACATATTTAAACACCCAAGACCTAAGCACAACACCAAATGCTCATCACATCGATGTTTGTCTCAGCCGGGGATCGAACCCGGGACCCATGGATTAGCAGTCAGGGGTACTAACCACTAGACCAATGAGCCGCCACAGATTGAACAATCAAACAGTGAAAGAAAATATCGTGAGGAACCGGCATGTCTAGGCATAGCAAATTAGATGGAGACAACCCTCAGCTCACTCTTGGCAGACAAGGAGTCCTGATCGTATCTGATGGAGTGTCTATATAGGGTGTCAGATGGTGCAAGCGGTGGCGTAACTATACCATCTGGGGCCCGTGGCAAATTCTTTTGATGGGGCCCTATCAGTAATAATCGTCACGTTGTACTCAGTTTAATTTTAATAAACTTTGAGATTTTCAGAGTACTCAATTACACGTATATGTCCCACTAATGGCCATAGGCCTCCTCTCTTAGGCGAGAGGGAATGTTTTGTAGTCCCCATGCTAGCCCAACGCGTATTGGAGACTTCACATTCATCCATAGAACATCATATCTCTTGGGCAGGGGCCCTCTTGGGTCGAGGGAGGGCACGTAGCATATTGCCAGCCCTGCCACCCTATTGTTACGCCACAGGGTGCAAGCAATAACATTCCCGGAATTTTGGTAAGAGGCGTAGATGACGTACACTGTAACCTACACGCCTATATAAACAGAATGATCAATTAACGGTTTAAGTAATCCAATGCCAAAAAAAATGCGGAAATTTCTCCTTTCGAGTCATTTTCAACATTCATTCAGAGCCAGCGGAGTGAGTACAATAAAAATCCAGTGACGCTACAACTTATGTAGGTATAATAGGCTTAATATTAGGTACCAACAATATTATCAGTGTATATTATTGTCGTTATTCTCCGTACGAGTACATACCTAAAGTTAATTCGTAGAAACTCCTCCCATTCTTATCGTTCTACAATGTTTATTCTACACAATGAACGACTTTTCGGTCTTAAAATATGTTTACTAGGCATAATGAATACTTTTTAATCGTTTGTTTATTAACAAGTAAGGAAGTTTTTCTGTATTCAAAATCAATTGAGTAATAAGAGAAATGTATGACAGTATTTTTATTGCGCTTTAGATCAACGACACGAATCATAATTTTGATGTAAAATTTCTACATAAGCTATCAACTTTATGTATGTTCAGGCAGCAAAATCGGCTCCCGACGTCTGAACGCTTGGGATTTTTTAAATCTCCACGAGGAAGGATTTATACTAATGATGATGAAGATACTATACTATATTTTGTCGCTACCGTGCCTATGCTCAGATCTTGAACTATTTATAGTTCCTAGTTTTTTATAGTTCTATAATAATATTCTTATTATAGTGCCATCTCCTATCGAAGATTGGCAATCATCATGGCAAACAATTTAGAAAGATCATCATTAATTTAAGAGGCCGCGCTTCTGTACTGGTGCTTTGACCAAACCATATATTAAATCAGAATAATGTTTTTAATCCCAACGGTATTTTACAAGTAAGAAGTATTTAACACAGATCTCAAATAATTGAATTCTAAAAAAATAAAAATAAATCAGTGACGCTACAACCTCTTTAGGTCTTGGCCTCGGATTTCTGAATCTATTTCATGATCATTTTTAAATATAATAGGCAAGTTGGTGATCAGCCTCCAGTGCCTGACACACGCCGTCGACTTTTTGGGTCTAGGACATGTCGGTTTCCTCACGATGTTTTCCTCCACCGTTCGAGCAAATGTTAAATGCGCACATAGAAAGAAACTCCATTGGTTCACAGCCGGGGATCGAACCTACGACCTCAGACATGAGAGTCGCACGCTGAAGCCACTAGGCCAACACTGCTTAATTTTATTCTAAACCTCCACAAATAATAAAATATCTAAAAATAGAACAACTACTGTTCATATAAATTAAGTATTGTGTACTTGAAGCCAAGCACTTGAGAACCAAACGCAATTAAAAGCTTTATTGTCGTATTGCAAATGTCAGTGCGCACTTTCTAGATAAGCAAATGTTCTTAAATGTATTGTCATATAAAATTCAACTGCGTTTATATGGATATATGTATATGTAAATGTATGTTTTAAAAGTTTTTGTTACTGTTATTGGAATCCTACTTATTAGTATAATTAAATAACAACAGAACTTTCCTCTTTCAATGAATAGCCAGCGTTAAAGGTACACTGCCACAGGTACGAAACTTTTTAAATTTGTTTTAATGTTCTTTTTATTAACTTCTAATTAAATTTATTATTACTATGTAGGTTAAAAAAAATATGTATATTTGATACTTATGTTTAGGTTTTAATAAACGATATAGTCTAATAACAACATTATATACAATATTATATACTTTCGGCATTGCAAGCCTACATTACTCTTTCGTCCTTATTTACAAAACAACGAATATTTTTTATATCGCGTGTTTAGTTTTTACATTACATTAATGTATGGGTTATAAACTAATCAAAAATATAACTTGTACTCGTAACATTTTTAGTATAAAATAAATAAATAAATGGAACAACCTTTTTAGGTCTGGGCATTAGATTTCTGTATCTGTTTCATGAACATTTTTAGTACCTATAGGCTAAATAAAATTAATGATAGAAATATAATAAATTATTGTACAGAATCACAATCGTAATTAATATTTCGTAAATCGTAATAAGGTTATGTAAACAGTTTCTCTATTGGTTTCCTAAAGTTAACTAATTAATAAATACTTAGTTATGTTTTTATTATTTATGGTGAGGTAATAATTATTTGTCTATTTAAGTTTGCTCCTGTCAAACAGGCGCTCGTTATTCAATTCGTCCAGAAAGAACTTACGTAATTGAATTAAAATAGTAATCGCCAATCTTGAAAAATTACTATAGCTTCTAATTACTTTAAAAACTAAAAATTTAAGGTCAACATTATGTACTTTAGTAAGTATGGTTTAATTTAAATTAATAAATAAACTTTTTCAATTGCGTCCAACTTCGACCGAACAATTTGGAACCAACTAATTAAATAATTATTTAACACTGCTCAAGAAAAGCAAAGTCCTTAACAACCTACAAAAACAAAAGAGTAGACTTTTATATAATTTATATAAAATATACAATTTTAAAACTAAATCACTGTATGAAAAACTCACTTATTAGGTTGAGGCACGATAGTTTCATAGTTGAAGGACTGCAACAGTTTGCCGACCGCCTCATTGATCTCCAACGCGGGCTGTTCAGCGGCCCAACTCATCATGGCTCAAGTAACGGTGCCGTACGTGTGATCCACTCGCGCGCATTCACAATAAAGAGCCCCTTATACTCCGCGTATACGTATTAAAGCTCGCTCTAGCTTCCGACTGTTTACTCGTAATTGTTTTGTGAGTTATGGATTTTATGTCATGTTATTTTTTAATTTTTGGATTGATTTATAATATCGTAAGTAATGATTATTTATTGTAATTTTTATTCTAGTTTTATTATTCTTTGTAAACTTCGTTTTTAAAATTATTTGACTAAATGTATAAGTTTTCCGTTATACATTTAGTTTGTTAGAGTAAAATCCAAAATGTTGCCCTGTCTGTTTGATATTTATTGTACTGTTATATTTGGATTTCAATCAAAATTAATACAGAATAATCTAATTCTAAACCTTTTAATAAAAGTTTATATATCATATATTAAAATTATATGTTTACAGAAAACTATAAATAAGTTTTCCAAGTTTTTCCGTAAGCTAAGTGGGCGGTACTGATTAGCACCGCCTTTCCTCGCCATTGGCGCGCGCCGGCCACTCTGACGTCACAGCGTATGCGCATATATATGAGTTATGACACTAATTTCGACACTACAATTAGATTGCAGCTAACGTGTAGAGAAGTCTTATTCACTTAGAAGATTCTTTCCTTTGATATCTAATATTTTATATTTTAAATGTATGTTTCAAAATAGTTTGTATTAAAGTTTTAGTATTGTAGGATTACTATAGATCTCTATTCTGAGCATGGAACCTACATGATTTTGCAAGTTCATTCTTGCATCCAACAAATGAGTTAACTAAATAATTAGAAGTCAACTTGCTTGGGAACTAAATTAAATATCATCGTAGACACGGAAAGTTTTGAATTTCTAAACACCTGTTACCTGTTAGTATAAAATCCCGTAAGTTTTAGCCCCTACAATGGGGCGTGGGCCAGACTCATTTCTGTGCAAGAGCGGATCAAGGTGGAAAAATAATTGATTGAGGACATACCAAGCGTGTTGTACTTTCACAACTCATAATGGAAATGGTTCTGGTTACACCTGCAATAGGTACCCTCCGGCTCGAAGGACCAAAATGTACGGTTCCTGGATCATCAGGGGTTCGAAATAATACAATAATGTGAATTTACTCTATAGTTATCACTCGCGTTATACAATAGAATATGAGCGAAATAATAACTATTATGTTAATTGCTATATAATAAGTGCAATCTAACAAGCAGAGAGAGTGCCTACGTCTGGCTATGCTCCCGGGGTGAAACTCCTGTGACTTAGTTAATTACTGCGAATGACTGCATAGTAACAGTCGAAGAGAGTGCCTGCGTCGGGCTATACTCTCGGGGCGTGACTCCGACGATTTAGGAAATCGTCATGCTTATAAGTGATCAAACTGTACAGCCAGGACACGTACTTACATAAGACAAACATCACGCTTGTAGGTGATTGGAATGCACGACCCTTGGCACGTACGTAGGGAATAATCACGATTATAAAACTAAGGAAGCCTGAGTGGGCAAAATGTACAGCCTTGGCTCGTACATACTTAATTTTTTTAAATCATAAGTAAATTAAGTCTTCATATTCGCGTTGTTTTCTTAAGGTATTTTCGTGCTATGTGATATGGCTTATAATATCATTTTTATTTAGGTAAATAATAAAAAAGGCAGGACTCATAATCTAATTTTTTTTTTATCTTAGAAACAATTTACAATAATCAAGATGTCACTAGGATCCTAAACACAAGTTTGATATTAAATTGATGTAAAAAATTCATAAATGCAAAATGCCTTCAAAATAACATGAACTTAAGTAGTTCAGTGATACATAGCTAATTTATTTCAACATCCAAATTTGGATATATTTTAAGCAAAAAATCAAAGCTCTAAGAATTTTATATCGATCGTTATAATTACGTTTTTAATGGATTGTGATATGGATTTGGAAACTGCGTTCTAACGGAATAAAATAGATTGCTGGCATAGCGCGAACATAGTTTGTTAGAGCAGACTCACAAATTACCAGCTTTTTATTAAAACTTCCATTTGGTCAATTAGAACGTTCTAATTGTGTGCCCAATTCACGCAAGAAAACGCTAATTGATCTGTCAAGGTAGAAGCAAGTACCATAACTGCCTTCGTCATACTTAGACCTTAGTAGGTACTTACGTTATAATTTAATTCGTCATATCAGTCTATATACAGTAGCTATCTACTACTATTCAAAAATACTTCTTTGACGCAAATTTATTAAATTATTTACATAACTTGACGATTTCAATAAGTCACAGTTAGCAAGAGACTTAAAGCGTTGATACAAAAAATTGGCGTTTAAATAAGTCCGTAGAAATACAATTTAAATGTATTACGGCGCTAACATAAACATAGAATCAAATTGAAGTTGGAATTGTCAAAATAGAATAAAACTGCCAGTTTTTCTTATTCGAGACATTCTTGATTTTTCCATTTGTTCCTAGAATTGTATATATCTATCGCTTTACAGTTTTTCCCGCCAGAGCAGAGACCTATGCCATAGAGTATAAACCGTGACCACAGACTATCGCACCTATAGATGCCACCATAGAACTTACAACATTATAATAAAGCTGTAAACTATTGCCATAAAAAATTAAAAAATAATATATAGCTTAGGGTTGTGAATACCGAAACTAAACAATTTGAATTTGAGTAATTAAAGTTTTATCGATTTATTCAAGTGAAAAGTTTCAGATTCAGTTTTCTAAAAAAGTATAACTTTTTGAAGTTATACTTTAGGCGCGTTATGAAAAATTGATGAGAGTGAAATTTTACGATGCGCGCGCACCGTGACACAAAATTAACAGAATGAAATTGCCCACGGAAAAAGCTACGGCATTGGACATAATTTAAAAACAACATTCGAATAGTAATAGAATTTATGTTACACGTAAGTTTATGTAAGAGAATAATAATAAATATTTATTTATTTAATTTTTCAAATGAAAACTGAACTTTGTAGACTATAATGACTCCTTTTCCAGTCTTTGACTATTTAATTGTAATTAATTATTTGCATGTAATCAAAAACTATTTTTAATAATGCCAAAGAAGTAGATATAACTTCTTACGCGCGTACATAAGTACACGCATGCTTTTTTATATTTATGTATTTTGCGTGTACACTAATAGATTATAAAAAACAACATAGAAATGGAATCTGTTAAATTCATAAGTGTGTTAACTGTTTAAGTGCCCTGTAAACGATCAAATTGTTTGTCAAATTTTACGTGTTTGTCAAATTATTTAATAGTGTACTGCTGTGTTTGAGGCGTTTGTCAAACAATCTACGTGTTTGTCGTGCTTGATGAAAATCTGGATTGAAGTTTGACAAACAATTTGATCATTTACAGGGCACTTAAATGATCAAATTGTTTGTCAAACTTCACGTTTTCATCAAACAATAGCTTAAACGATCAAACCAAATATCAATCAAATTTGTTAAATTTCTAGTAGATTCTGGTTTCTCCTTTCGTGACGTGACGTCGCCGTGCCGAGCGCGAGTAATTCAGATGACGCATTTTTGGCATTGACTCTAGCACTGTGTATCAAGACAAAAAAAAGAAGACGATGTAGTCGAGAATGGTTGAAATTAAGAGATAAATATACCAACGAGAATTTGCTACGGGAAATATTGCGTACAGAACCTGAAGACTACGCAAACTTCCTGCGCATTGACTATAAAACTTTTAAAGATTTACTGACTATACTTCGTCCTCGTATTGAAAAAAATAAAGTTCTTGTCCATATAATCTTTTGATTTTATTTTCCATAACATCGGCATATCACGATAAACAGATATGAAATGCAACGTAAATTCTTTGTTCGTAATATTGCCACTCATATCGTCACTGAGCGTAGCGTCCTCCATGATGTCAATACAACGAGTGAGATCTTGTTTGACAAACACCGCCGTACACGTTCAAACCTGTTTGTCAAACTCGACATCAATCCAGATTTTCATCAAACACGACAAACACGTATATTGTTTGGCCACCGCCTCAAACACAGCAGTACACTATCAAATAATTTGACAAACACGTAAAATTTGACAAACAATTTGATCGTTTACAGGGCACTTTAATGTGCTGAGTGCTCTGTAAATTTGTGTGTTCCTGTGGTCCCTGTGGATATTATGTGTTCAATATTACTTAAAAAATACAATTCAAACAATTTAAGTGATGAAATTTAGTGAAGTGAAGTTAGTGTCGCCAAATTATATGAACATACATATTCCAAATAAGTCATGACTTAAAGGTCTTTGTTACCAGGTCATAAAATTAAAAAAAAAAAAATATGTGTTCAATCAACAGTCAACTATATCTGTTTTATACTTGACGCTGGCTAATGCACAAACTACAAACCGTGCCAGAGCCATAAAGAGAAAAAAAAAACTATATCTGTTAAGTGTAAATTTGTTTACAACAATAAAAACTAGATAATTGCTGCCTAATTTTTGTTTCTTTTGTATCGTCTAATGGTGTAATTATAGAAGATTATACTATACTATAGAATGAAAATCGCGGTCGAGGGCTGTGCTCACGGAGAGTTGGAAAAAATATACGAATGTGTTGAGACATTACAAGAGAGAGAAGGAATAAAAGTAGATTTATTAATTTGTTGTGGCGATTTTCAATCAGTACGCAATAATGATGATTTACGAGCAATGGCAGTGCCTGAAAAATACCACAATATTTGTACTTTTTACAAGTATGTTCAAAAGAGTATAGGTTAAAAATATAAGTATGTACGTAACATTTCATAAACACGTTATTAACTAATCGTTTGTTTCAGATATTACAGCGGAGAAAAGGTTGCTCCCATATTAACAATATTTATAGGTGGAAACCATGAAGCGTCGAATTATTTACAGGAACTGCCATTTGGAGGATGGGTAGCTCCCAATATTTACTATCTAGGAAGAGCCGGAGTTGTTCAATTTGGCAACTTAAGACTTGGAGGTAACAATACATGCGGCTTTTGGTGTAGAGATAATTATAAAGTTTCACATTAAGCCTTCATATTAAACAGTATTTACCTTAATCAATTTCTGGTCTGTAAATAGTAAGTCATTCATTATTAAATTTTTTACAGGTTTATCAGGTATATTCAAGAATCATGATTATTTACAAGGACTCTGGGAAAGCCCTCCATATACACCCAACTCATTACGATCAGTTTACCATATAAGATCTTTGGATGTATTTAGACTAAGTCAGTTGAAAGAAAAAGTTCATGTTATGTTGTCACATGACTGGCCAAGAGGAATTACTAATTATGGGGACAAGAATAACTTGTTGAGAAGAAAACCATTTTTCAGGTGAGATAGTTTGATAGTTTCCTTAAGAAGTATGTATTTTTAAAAATTATTAATAAGGTCATAATTTCCAACCATAAACAAATTTCAGAGAGGATATAGAATCTAATAAACTAGGCAGCCCTCCAGCAGAACAGTTACTAAATCAGGTGAAACCAGATTACTGGTTTGCAGCACATCTGCACTGTCAATTTGCTGCCTTAGTGAAGCATGATGACAACAGTGAAACTAAATTCTTGGCCCTAGACAAATGTTTGCCAAAAAGGAGACATTTGCAAATCTTGGATTTGCCATCCGAGTTTGCTGGTGACAAACAGTTGAAACATGATCTAGAGTGGTTGGCTATTTTAAAAAATACTAATCACCTATTGTCCGTAAAAAATATAGATTGTCATCTACCTGGGCCTGGTTGCAATGAAAGGTAATATTACCATAAGTGTATTTATTAGTTGAAACCATATTTTAGTACCAGTGACTCTATCTATAGATACTCTATATATAGAGTTTTTTTTTCTGAAAAGCTTAGAAAACTGGTCATCAACCATAATGTGACATAAAAATTGAAGAAAAGTTATGCTTTACATTATTTTCCAATTAGAGAATTTTATTTTTCTGCTTGAAGGTATGACTTTACACCAACACAAGAAGAAAAGGATATGGTCCTAAAATTTATGGGCTGTTTAACAATTTCCAACGATTCATTTGTTCAAACAGCCCCTACATACAGGCCCAACACACCCAAACGTGCACCATATGAAGCAATTCTTAACCCACAAACTGCCACACTATGTGATAAACTCTGTATTGATGATCCTCTGCAAGTAGTTTTAGCAAGATCTGGCAGAACAATGAAGCAACCTGCTTTTATTGAACATTCAGATAGTATTGAAGGTAATGGACAAATACCAAAAACCCCAATTAAATGTTCACCTATGACATTACCAGCACCGGTTACACCATGTCAAAGTGAAGATTTATCAGAAACAGTTTCTGCTTTGAACTATAGTAGAAATAGTTTTTTATCTGAGAGTGAAAATGTAACTTCAGAATGTGAAACTCCACCACAGACAAATAAAATTGTTTTTAAGAGACGCAATTTGGCTATGTATACACCTGAAGATGCTGAAACTGGCAGCAATACATCAGGTTCACAGGTAGAGTCAGATAGTCCAAAATCATGTAAGCTTGCATGTCGGACTAACCCTTTATAGTATATATTATTATATAACTGAATGGTCTGAGATACTTATAGTATAATTAATTGCAAATGCACTTTTAAAAATAACACATGCATTAGTTCAGTTGACACATACATACTCTATTGCACTACCAAAATGTGAATTGAAATGCCATTTTGTAAGGAATAATTGACGAGTTTTTTTATGAATAGTATGTTTCTAAATTTTTAAATAAATTATTATATTTTATTTTTTTACAATAATGCATTAAATAAAAAAAAATTAAAATATTTTTAACATGTCATAATATTATGAATTTGAAATGATGTAAATGTGTAAAGTATATTATATTAATGTAACATTATAATATTTTAGGATTACTGTTTTTAAAATGGGACAATAAAAAAGAAAGCAGTGTGCAAGTGTATGATAATTATTATGCTAGAATATTGAAATATGTCTGAATTTATGTAATTTTAGATGTGTATAAGATCATTCTAAACAAAAAAATAATTGCTAGTAGTGTAGTATATGTAATGTGTACTTACAGTAAAGAAAAATCATATTTTAATTTTTTATTCATTGATCTAAGAAATTAGTGCAATTTTTTATTACTATAAGTAGCGAAAATTTAATACTGTAATGATAGTAAATATAGTACAACAGCAACAACTATTTTATTTCACCTTTATTACTGCATAAAAATACTCATAGATGTTAAACATTTATAATCCTGTTAATGGATAGAAACGGTGTTACAATTAGTTCCATTTATGTTAAAACATATAGGCCACATCAATTTCATTATGTTGATGCATATTGAAATAGAAATACTTCTAAGGTAAGATTTTGCTACTTAACACTTATGCTATAAGTTTTTCAATAGCATCATTAATTTATTGTTGGTACCTTTCCAAAATCTTTATTGCACTCTCTCAATATGAATGTATTTATTAAATATAATATGAGAAATACAGCTGAATGACTGAATTATATTACAATAATGGCTAACAATCACAAGATCTAACAGTAATAACTAGTTTTTAAATGTTTATACAAAAAACTTTTTTTTCTTAAAGTAGTTGCACACTCATTATTGAACATGAGTTAATAAATGTTGCCTTAGTTGCGGCATTGTTTTTGGTTCAAAATCACACTGATTGCATTTCAATGGTATTGACATAAAACTCTTGTGAGTTTCTGGAGACATCTTGTCTATTAATCCATCCTCCTTTAATTTATTAAGAACATCTGAAAAATATATTATATTATACAACCTAGTTTTAGTATAGAATAGATATTGAATGTTTGTAATTGTTCATCAAATTTTATTTTATTACTAACCTTTGTATGGTAGAAAAAATTTAGTGGTGAAACTATTCCAATGTATTCTTGTCTTCAAGCATGTTGAGATCATATCATTGCTGATTATGTGCATGTGCATTCGTTGCATACTAGGAACTGCATGAAATCCACAATGGAGGAAAAAATCTGCATGCTCTTTTTGAATTTCTTTAAAAATTTGACCAAATTCTTCAATTAGAGGAATGTGTTCTTTACTTAGCTTGTAAATACTACTAATATCTTCGCGGGGTAGAACCAGGTAATGGATTTTAGCTTTGGGATACTTGTCTCTTATAACAACGATGCGTTCGTTTTCTTTATAAATTGACTTGGGGTCTTTCATCGATTCTACTAATCCTAAAGACCAGAGTTGCTTCGGCTTCGATGTAACGTAATCTGACACGTTTTTACTGCACTTGCTCATTTTTGAATTTTTGTTATAAGTCTCAAACACTATTCTCGGTTAGGTCCGAGGATTAAATCAATAAAAACTCTCCTTTTGTGAGTTTGGTATTCAAGTTTTTTTGTAGTAGGTTTGAAAGGAGAAATGCACATGGATTTTCATTAATAATAATGAGTGTTGTGTTCTCTTTAGTTTATTTAAATTTTCTTATTATCAAAACAAGAAAAAAACAATACGTTCTCTTTTAACTATCACAAATTCACATCACCCGCCAATTGACATTTAGATGACGGTTTTAATTTTTGTCACTATTCAGTTTATCTGTCAATTAAGAACTGATATTTTTAATGTCACTGTCAACTCGTAAAAAAAATCTTTACCACAATGTTCTCCGAGAGTGAGATTCAGAAATGAGGTTTATCACGAACTTTAACTCACGTATGTCATACAAATGATACAATACGTTCTTGATATAAAGGAGTCACGCACACAAGTCTTGTCTGGAATTATGAGGCATGAGCATGGGTAGGATTCAAAAATAAGACTAACTTAGCGTGAACTATGATAACGGTTTTCGTATGTTAATACTCAATACAGTTTGACCCATGGCAGTCGGAGTCGTTTCTCAATCTTACCATAACTTGACCTAAAAGTTGACGAAATTGTTATTATTATTTTATTATCGACCGGTTTCTCTAGCGATATTTTAGAGTGGGAAAATTCCAAGATCAAGGGTGCCTGCGTGAAATTTGGTTTTTCAATTTAAGTGCATAGAGTAGTCAGATTTTATATTGTGTTTTCATGCATGGTGGTAATAGATAGTTAATAACAAGAAAAACTAAATGGACGGAAATAAAAAAAGTGTTCATGTTTTTATAATAATTTATTATAATTTTATGAGTTTTATTAGTATTTTAAATCAAAATACAATTATTTTGTAATAAACTATGTGGCTTAATTGCCTTCCTACAGCTAAATCTATAAATCGTTCCGAAAACGTAAAACATTGTCATGACTGAAAAAAATTATTTGAACCAAATGGTCGCTTCTGATTTTTCAGTCATAAGAATAAGATAAACTTATTTAAATTTAAATAAATACTTAAACAAAATAAAGTAAGTTTTTATACTACCAATCTTAAGAAATTACTTATTAACTTAATATAAATGTTCCAAGCACATTGCTTGAATTCTACTATATTTCTTCTACAAATTACAACGAGTTGTGTATAATAAATATAAATATCAAACTCCTTTAATATCAAATTGTAAAGTCTCAGAGAGATTCCAACGATGCGATTTGTTGTATTTTAGGTCACAATATGTTATTAATAATTAAGAATAAGTAATACTGTTGGGCTATATTTAAACTCATTTTTGACCAATAATAATAGCTCTTTTAACGCCTTTTACAAAGTATTAAACTTTAAATATTTAAAAAAATGCGTGAGTGTGTTATAATGATTTTAAAACCAAATCAAATTTCTATAAAATATGTAAGTATAAATTAATGAATTTATGTATATTAGCGAGTTATAACACAATATCAGTTGTTTCACTTCAGAAGATAAGCTGGCTTATTCATCAAAACTAATTAGTTCACAATTTAAGTTTTAACTAAAGCCTCAGTTTCTTCATTATAGCAGAGACAATTAACTTTAATTGTCTTTGATTATAGAGTAAACATAATGTCACTTAAACTGCCCAATGTCTTTAGTTAAAAAGGACATCGAGGTTAATTTTGTTTTTGATAATAAAGGTTTTATTTAGTTTTCTCTAAGCTACGTATTTGGATTTGATCCTTATAAAGTAACATTCTGTAGCACGTATCACGAGGTATAGGTACACTCATTTTATTCTATTATTGCACGGTAGGCCGTCCCGTATATCCCGTGTCAGGGATTGAATGGTGAGCCAATTCTCGTAAAATCTGCTCGAAGCCTTTTCCTCTAGTAGGTAGGCTGTTGTTTTTCATCATTGTCGAATTTAATTTTGTTGCGAGGTAGCACATCTGTAAGACATTACTCTTTATTTATAGAATATTATTAACATGTTAAAATTCAATTAACAAATACATTGAAGTTACAAAAAGCATCAAAATAGTATAGTCTATGAAATATCGCAAAAATGGGGTACACAGAACACATTTATGGGTGTTAGCGTTGGTCATATAAATGATTTTATGCAGAAACTATCGTTTGAGAGCAATTAATAAGAGATTTAATATTTTATGTAATTTTCAACTCCAAATAGTAGTTATAAAATATATAAAAGGTCTTACCAGCAATGCGGACATAAACAGCAGAGTGCCTAGTGCCACTGATATCATCATAGATGTCGCACAGGTTGCCTCTATGGGTGTTCTATGGAAGAGTTCTCCCGGCATAATTACTGAATACTCAAGATTCTCTTTGAAGCGAGTGAACGGTGTACTTCCATTGTCAGCCACCAGAGAGGCGCTGGTTATATTGTGTTCCACCGTACTCGCTAGCGATCTTTTGCGACGACCATGTCCTAAAAAAATATAATTACTAATAAGTTGTTTAATATCAAATATTTTATTTGCTGATTTCCAAATTTATGTAGTAACTATAATCTTATATCCCAGTTCTAAATTTTATTGATTTGAAAACTGGCAGTAAATGTACATTGAGCATTAATTAATCAATAATTAAAATAAAGAGACTATATGAATAATTTATATTTTTATTTGCGTCATAAGTATGAAAAAATCTTGCTATAGTGAATAGGCCGTGAATAGGCTCTTACCTGAAGTTTCATACAAATCGAGACAGTAGTCCGGTTGACAGTCAGCAGGCTCCATGCAAGCCTTGATCTGGGAGTGTATCCACAGAGTAGACCGTTCTTTCATTGACGCTAGGAGAAAAGCTTCGAAATCCAAAAAGACCTCGTTATGCCTCTCTCGGTAACGCGCTGGCTGGTGGGGGATGATTGACGCGAAGTCTCGGTTGCGACATCTAAGGATTTAAAAGCTCGTCAGAAGATATTCGTACTAATTCCCGACCAAAACAATTTACCAACTAAGAATCAAACTTGGTTTTTCCAGCACCAGACTCATCAGCCATCCTATGTACATAGAATGAAAAAACGTTCATACACAAAATTCAATTAGATACCTGTACTATTGATAGAAAAATATATTTTTTAGCATAAATCTTAAATCATTTAGCCTTGATATTGACATTGAAAATTCGACGAGATGTACTTTTTCATAAAATTAAAATAGAAATAAATCTATTTACACAATTTTATTGAGAATAGAAAAAACGTATAAACTATTTTGATCTTACTCAAGTAGATGGCGTGAGTAGCAGTTAGAACCAATAAAATAAAACAACGGGTCGAAACACTGTTGTAGCAATATTAATTAATTATTACAAAACAAAAAATATTTGTAAATTGTAATAACCAACCATCTAAAAAAATATGTAGGTATTCGTGTTTTTTTTCCTTTTAGGGTTACACGTTATATTTAAAGCATGTTTGGCAAAATGGCGGTTACAATGTTGTAATAGTGCCATTGACTTCTTGTAGATGGCGCTGTATTAAGTCAAAAACTAAAGTTCGTAAAAAAATAGGAAAATACCTATTAAAATCATCAATTCTCAAATTTTCTATTTACTTAAAGTGTGTGTAAATACCACGTAAAATAAAAAAATGAATTTTTCTATATTTAAAACCTAGGCAATTCACATTTCTGAAACGCGCTAACAAAGTTTTTGTACGTGTTAAGTATATATACAATACAACTTCCTATACAAGTGTACTCGCTTCGGCAGTACATATACTAAAATTGGAACGATACAGAGAAGATTAGCATGGCCCCTGCGCAAGGATGACACGCAAAATCGTGAAGCGTTCCACATTTTTTTGAGAGTTTAGTTTTAAAAGAAAATTAACTGACTATCAATATATCGTATAAGTGCCAGAAATAAATGTTTCTTTATAATATAACACATAACTCTTTATATACTTATGATACATATACGATGATACCTAATTGCTCTTAACTAATTGTGCTAATTCATTGGTACTAACAGGTATTAGACCTTTCTCTAGTAAAGGGTTATTATAAGTGGACTAAGTACGGCATACATTTATAGCACATTTGTGATCGCTCTATAAAAAGTATATTTTTCCTGTTTATATTTAATTCTTTATTAATTAAATTCCTTACCCATCCTTAACCAACAAGACAGCGCCAGCAGCGTGAGGTCGATCTGGGTCTGGGGACACCGCGACTTCCAATAGCTTTATGTGCCTCCATGCAGAATCAGGGTTAATGCGCGCGCGCAGTTGGAGCTTTGTGCCAATCGGTACTGCCTGTAAATAGGTAATTTATAAATCGATATGATAGATTAATATAGTGCTAATAAATTTTGTCTATCTTTCATTCCTCTTATAAATATTTGATCCTTATAAGAAATTAATGGAGATTTATTTATTTTAATTTACCTGGTCAACAGGCATGTCTACTGAGTGATTGGAGTGTCGGGACAGAGGTGGTGCCTCTTTGTACAACGCTACTTCATACTCCAGCCGGCCAGGAGTCTCTTCAACCACCCCTGATACGCGGGCACCGTGCGGACTATTATAAACAAAATACATGTTACAGTTTCATTCCTGATCAACAGTTCAGACTTATACAAGTCTGGCTATGTGTAGTTTTAGTTGGTGACCGTATTTCCTTACGATAACAATTTAACTTTTCCCCCTTTGATTGTTCTTTTAATGAAAACGTATTATCTATCAAACTATTTTATTTTTATGTTAAGCGATGAACCCAAAAATTGTACCGATTGTGGTGATTCTAAAGAGCATTCGATTCATATCGTACACTACTTACAAACTACCGGCAAAACCTGCAGCCTTGTTCTCTATGATGGTAGGCTCTGGCGGCTTGCACATGATGATCAGCTCTTGATCTGACTGCATCACTACGCCGGGGAATTGAGGGAACCATACACGGACGTGAACGAATCCCTGAAATAATAAAATGGAGTAACATCATAACCTGGAATAGAGCACTTGGACATGGAACACATTTCTCTCACTTTCTTGTCTTCGTTTTGAAATGACTTTTAATTCTTTTTTAGTCTCAAATCCTCTCGAATGCCACTCTGATTTATTTTGTTAAAAACTTTAGCAAAATCTAAATTAACAATAGTAAAACTGCGTTAACGTTTTCTGTTTTGTATCGTATACTCTTTATTACACTATTATCAAAAAAAGTCACGAAAATTGTCGGAGCACTTAGGAACAAACCTTATAATGAGCGTCCGAAAGCAATAGGTAATTGAAACCTATAAAATTCTTACTGGCCACTATAATGTTCCAGGAATTGAGAAGCTCCTTATTTTAAGTGAGAACAGAGCCCCCCTTCCACTTCTACTTCTTAAAAATGAAGTAGTGTCTGACTGGAATAGGCTTCCGGAAAGTGTAATTTGGGCACCCTCTTTGAACTCTTTTAAAATAGGTTGGATAATTTGTCCAAATCCGCAAATACGCGCGCTTCAGCTGATTAAGCTGCTAGTGTGTTTATCTACATACTAATAATATAATAGCGAGCGACGGTGACAGTCAATATTTATGTCGGCAAAACTGAGGTAAGCTAAACGATTATGCGATATTACAGTGTTTAGTTGCACTGTTTTCACCTCGATTCTGTTACCGGTCTACATTGCGTTAATAATACACCATCTGTAGGCCACTGTATACTGTTATTTTAACGGAATTCCTCATTATGACACAACATGAGACGAGACATTTGACAATGGGGGGTGTAGCCTAAACTTGGCTCGTTACAGCGTGCAGTCAGCGAAACGTGTACATAATGTATTTGAAAGGGAATCTTCTTCGGTCACCCTCAAATATTCATTTGCAAGTTGACGCTTGTTTTGATGGGCAAGTAGGGGCCGTTTAAGCATTACGTAAGCACTATGGGGGGCTGTCTTTGATTTTGTTATTTGGTGATTACGTCAACAGTAATTAATTGCAGTAAATTTGTTTATGTAATATTTGAACGCCATTACATTTAAGTATCACCAAACATTTTTATTACCTACATAAAAAACGAAAATTTCTGCCAATTCGAACACAACATTTCCATACTTTTAGTAAAGTATAATGTTTAAACGCCGTGTAATAGTGTTTCTCATACAGATGCCAAGGGATAGATACAGGTTTCGACAGTTAAATACCAAAATTTACTATGAAATAAATAATAATAATTAATAATTAGGTAATCGTTTATTTGCAAAGAAAGTAGTATATACAGATTGAACAACTATAAAAAAACCGCACAAGCAGCGATATAAAAATAGGCATACAAATGTCATGTTAATTATCATGTCATAATAATAAGAACAGTTAAGTTACTTATAATTGTGGTAAAAAAAAAATACCTTGTTTTTAAAATATTTATCACCTTTCCCTCGAAAGTATTACACGGCAGTGATCTATAACTGGGAAGGTGATTAAATAGTTTGATTGCCATGGGGTAAACCACGAAAGAAAGAAAAGATAGAAGGAGTAACTTTATTATATCTAATAAAAAGATGTATAGTTAAAATAGAAAGTGCACTACCCTGTGTCGTGGGCAGCTAGCCTCTTTCATTTGACTACTACATATTAATGTTTTAGATATTTGACGTAATTAATTCTTCAGATATAATGAAAATTTTGTTTTTAAGTGGTTAAAGATGAAAGAGAAAAAGCGTTGGGCGAATTTTTGCATAGTGCAGTTTCCTATAAGTATAAAGATTTTTTCGTGAAACAATTTAAGGACACTTCCATAATTATATTTTGTCTATATATAATTTTTTCAACATTTAGTATGTGTTTAGTAGTTTTTACAATATTCTTAAATTAAATAGTACTAACTACTTAAACCTAACAAATTTAAAAAGTTTGGTCCCTGTGGCAATGTAGGTACCTTTAATGCTTTTTCTCGCTGTATTGCGATACAATATCGTGATTATATTATTTGCCTTCCTATAATGCCATTATATTTAATTCAAATATTGGAAATTTGATATGAGAAATTACGTGAGTTTCATGATTTAATAATATTGCTTAAAAGTAAAATACTTACATTCCGTTTTAGCACTCCACATTTTGTAAAGTCGGCGATCCGTAATCGATAGAGTAATCCTGTGGGGTCCTCCGGTTCAGGACGAATCTGGCACATGGGGTCAGCCACGGGGTCTGTAGCTCTATCGTCAGCGAACAAGGGTGCTCCGCGGAACCCCTCGGGCTTCCGAAGTAAGGCTGTGACCGAGTCACGGATCCCTGAGCCGGTACTTGCGAATGTGCACTGTATATCTGTTACTGTAAATAATTGATTAAATTATTGTTTATAATCCCACGAAGGTATAGGTTGGAAGTAGACAACCACCTTTTTTGATGGTATGTGTTAAGGACTGCTATAAAATATAAATCTTAAACAACTCTAAAAGTAGATTTTTTTTTACAAAATTTCCCTAATAGTATGTTTTTCCTTAGCCTACTATTTTAGTAGCGACATACAATCATTGGAACATTTTGCTATTCTACCCTATAGAGACTGTTCGCTTTTCCGAACTAGAAACCTAAGTACTAAATAAAACTTTATATATTTTTTAATTTTTATATATTTCTCTCCATTAAAAACCTCGGAGTCTAGGAATAAATAAAAAAAATACTCGAATTGGTTTGGCCGTCCTCGAGTTTTGAGCTTAGCAACATATTTTGCTATTCATTTTAATTCATATAGATTTTGTTAAAATTAAAAACGTTAATTCCCGGCCTACAGCTTTGGATCGTTAGAAAGAAGGTTCATCACCTACTTTTCTTCCATACATGTTAAATGAAATGAACACAACACATCCTTTCAAATATGTTTTCTATACCATCCGAAACAATATTTTAACCGACATTCAAACCCAGTACCAAAGCTATATGCGATAATAATCCGATAAGTACATATAGTAAATGCTTAACCTTACCATCATAGTCCTGACCAGATGCACTCCCAATCTGAAACAAAGCCCATTCAAATATTAAAGGAAGTGAAGAAACACATTGTTTACCGTAATACCTCTTTAATTGATTAGCATTACTAAGATTGTATCTATCGTTAACATAGTATATGGTTTAATTAATAAACACCATTAAATTCACGGTTGTTAAATATCCAATAGATTAAGTAATAAAAATTGGGCCATGAACAAACACGCACTAAGCTATCACGTACAAATGAAATATTGTAGTGTGTTTATTATTAATGGGCACGATAGTAAAAACCATGGACAAGATTTTAAACCATTTTAGATTGTTTATTAGACTATAGAACTTATTTATACAAATTGTTATCTTTGATTCTGTTTAGGCTAATTTCAAAATTAAACAATCGTTTCAAGATCCCGCCAAAACGCATGATTCTTAAGTTGGCGGGGGGAAATTAATTTTTTTGCACTTTTTTTTGGCTCTATCAACTGTTCGTTAACTGTTCTTCATTGTTCTATCAAAAAATTTTTTTGTTCGTTTTTTTTTAATTATAAAAAAATTGACCCTCAATTTGGCACGAACTATAGATATTTTGATTTTTTTTTTCTAATAGTTTAGAACTATTCAATAACTGTTCGTCCAAAATAAACAACTGTTCGGCTTTCATTATCCTGTAATTTAATAATAATTAACATTTTTTTATAAATCTTAATTAAATGTTATTGCGCATGCGCAGTATCAATGCGCATAGTTCTCATAAATTATGCGCGGCCTATTTGAATTCGATTCAAAGAGACAACACAACTAAACTAAACTAAAATAATTTTTTTAAATAATACTTATGTATAAAGTGGAGTATTTTGTTTATTATCTCTCCATACTCCATACATATATCCACGTCATGGTTAAAATCGAGAAACTATTAATTAATATGAATTTTCACGAGAGCGATAATCAATGCGCAATAACATTTAATTAAGATTTATAAAAAAAAGTTAATTATTATTAAATTACAGGATAATGAAAGCCGAACAGTTGTTTATTTTGGACGAACAGTTATTGAATAGTTCTAAACTATTAGAAAAAAAAAATCAAAATATCTATAGTTCGTGCCAAATTGAGGGTCAATTTTTTTATAATTAAAAAAAAACGAACAAAAAAATTTTTTGATAGAACAATGAAGAACAGTTAACGAACAGTTGATAGAGCCAAAAAAAAGTGCAAAAAATTAATTTCCCCCCCGCCAACTTAAGAGAGCCCCAAAACGCTTCTCTAGGTAAGATGGCGTCGCATCCCTATGACGTACCGTGACATGAAAACAAATGTCAAGTATTTCCGTGTCAATTATGATTCTTTTTTTTCCCTTTATGGCTCATTATGATTCTTAAATTACATAAATACACACATTATATTTCGTTTAAAACAGTCTTAATTTTACAGCAGGGAAATGCTGCCAGCGTTAAAGGTACACTGGACTGGACAAAACTTTTAAAATTTGATTTAAGTTTATTTTTATTAAATTTTAGTTATTTTTATTATTACTTTGTAGGTTAAGAAAATTGTAAATACAAATTATACGTATGTAGATTAGTACATTTTACTGTTGTATGTTAAGATCTATTTTAAACTTGATTTTTTTTAATTCAGCTCTGATTCCTGTTAAGTTGTGATTAAGTGTTATGCAAATTTTCAGACGAACAAACGGTTATTCCTAAAACTGTGTTACTCTGCTTATAAAGCGTGAAGAGGTCAACAATCAAGGCTAGTAAATTGATTAGAGATGAAATTTTGCAGAGCAAATATATAAATTTAGGCATAAAATTATTAATTCGGGCACGCTTATATGTTTTTGTGAGTTTATTCAGTAATGTAAAATCGTATTTCATAGGAATTTTTGATCAATTTATCAAAATTTTAAGAAAAGCTTACATTCGTGGTATTTCCATCTAATTATTTAAAAGAAGATAATTTGCAAGGAAACTTTAAATTACTTGGAAAAACCATTAATTAATTTTATTTAAATTATATAATTTTTATTCATATTTATTTACGAAAAATTAGGTAAGAACCATATTATATTCATACCTAAGTTGGCAAGATACGCAATGAGAATAAATCTCCCTGTCTGTGTTCTTGTAGGATTCAAAGGTTGAGATTCAGAGTCGTAATGTCAAAATCCAATACAATTTTGACGTACGCGAATCAAAATTCACCCTAAGACTCGTTTCTGAATCTCACCCATAGATCGAAAGCCTGTTTTTATGTATATATATGTTTTTATATATCTTGCCACCTATATTCCGGTAACAATAATAATTATTAGTAATTGACTGCCTATTAGGCGTATTAAAAGCAGCACCATACGTTATGTTGCCGCTTTTAATACACGCAATATTAGCCATATAATGTCAATATTTTAGTTTTCCACAGATACAGTCTAGTTCCTTTTAAGAACGTTCGCGGTACGGTGCGATACAGTTACAGTGTAATCATCAAAAATCGATTTGTTACCAATCGAGATCAACTAATCACTGAGACAGCGGTATTGTTCTATCGTAATCGCTCTAGAGTTTATGGAATATATATGTAAAAAAATAAAAAAAATAAATATCACCTTATTTGACGAAAAACATTTGGTACTTACATTCTAAAGGTTATAAACATATATCATGAAACAGGTACAGAAATCTGAGGCCCAGACCTAAAAAGGATTTAGTTAAACTAAATCTGTTACTTTTGAGCTAAAGCTTTAATTATGTACGAAGAAAAGTCCCATTAAAATGGGTAATTCTAATCTGTCATAGATGTCGTGAGTTTTCTTACAACAAAGTCATTATTTACTTAAAGACAGCAGTATCACTTCCGAGTTTTTATACAGTTATTCTCACGTTGGTTTAACATTTTCTCATAGTCTGTCAGTTGTCACTTAATTGCCACGATTACGGCTTCATTATGTTTTTATTATCATCGTAAACTTGCTTAATCTGTGAAAATTTATGTATTAATTAGTGTTTACTATAGTTTAAGGTGAATTCGTCCAATAACATATGTTTAAACTGAATGAAGGTTCGCTGTTTAAAGAATTTTATTCGCATCAACAAATTTTTTCTTTTAAAAACTTAATTATTATTTACGAACATAATTTTTGTCTTCTGGGCCCAGAATGTGTATTTGCTTGGCATTAATATGCCCTTTTTTAAATAAATATTACGAATTTTTGAAGGCAATCCTATAAATAATCGCATAGTTTATAGATTGCTTTAAACAATCTGTGCCCTGCGTACAAAATCGGAAAATTAAGCAAACATGCTCGACAAGTGTTTGTCTTGTATATATATATCTATATACTAGTTTATCTAGTAGCATGCATATTATAGTTCATACTAATTTTATGTTAGAATAACGACAACGTGGATAGGTCTTGTTCTATGAAACATATTAACGATAATATTATTTAAAAAACTCCAATGGCGCTGCATCCTCGTCGCATCATCTCTGCATCTCCGTAATCTTGGCCTCAGATTTCCGTTTTTTTTTCTTATATGCAAGTAGGTGATCAGCCTGAACGATTTGGCATTCTGATAAACAATAAACTACAAGCTCCCTCCTTATCAGAATGCCAAATCATAAAATGACTGCTTTACGACTGATTTGAGCGCGACCGCCGCTGCGAAAACCGCTGTGAGAGTTCGAAAGGTGAGTTACAGAATCGCAAGGAAGGTGCCTTTATAGCGTGGGCGAGTATTTAGACCATAGGCTTGATAACAATTATAAATAAATCAACTTATTATTATGACATTATGTTGATGTTCTTATTTTATGACATTATGAAAATTAATATCACATTTGCATGCCTATTTTTATATGGTGATTGTGCGGATTTTTATAAATAATTGATCTAAATGCATAACTTTCAACAATCTTTCAACTAAAACCATTCCAATACGAATTTTATAATCCTATGGAATTTACCTTAGAATGTATTGGTTGTACCGTTAATAATGAGACGATGTAAATATGATGGGCAGTTGAAGAACAGTTGTGTTTTTTCGCAGCGTCATTACCACAAGTGTATTGACGGCGCGTGCGCTTACGCATTCCACACGCCTCCACAATAATACCATTATTAAGCTGTGCTTTACATTATTGCTTTTCGATTAGATTTACGTTGCATTCTTTACTGTTGAAATGATTTGTCAGTATTGGAAATATCTAAGTTTTATGAAAATATTTATTCTTCGAAAACTATACACCATTACAATTCTGTCAATTACCCTTAACTTAAATGGTATCATTTGCGATAACGGAATAAACACTACTTATCCTATAGTAGTGATATATAGATTGACATATTCGGTAGTGGGCTGATCAATTTAAAAATAACATTGTTAAGTGCTTATCTGATACCTAATCCGCTGTTTTGCTAGTAATTTTTTTGTTTACTTTTTTGTAAGAGTATGATTACTATAATTGTCATATATTTTATAAAATATAGCTAGTAACATATACTGTAGTATTATGTATGATGTGGTGAACTTTAATTAAACAATTAAAAATATGATCACGGATAATTTTTCAATTTAATCGCTGGAAACCTATCCAATTGCTACGGACTACGAGTCATTTATAAAAAAGAATGAATGTCAATTGTCAAATGGGCTTTCTGAAAACTAACGTCTTACTAATACGCATAAGACGGTTGCTAGTAAAATAATTTATTTGTCCGCACAAACATGTAGGCAAAGTGCGAGTGCCAAATGTAACTTTTTGACATATAAAGTCTGATAGATACTTAACGCTCTCGACTCATATAAGAGATAAAGCGTAGCTGTAGCTGGCCTTACGTTACCAAGCGATCTCTTCTTCGTGATCTAAGATAATGTAATCCTTATAAAAATTAATTAAAACGCAATCATAGCCGTAACAGTGATGCATTTCGTCATTGCATGCTTCATCAATCTAGTATTCGTTAGCGCACATAATATCTCCTCTTTTGATAATTTATCTGGATTTTACATTTACAGATTAAATATCTATCTAAAATAGTAGGGAGCAGCTGATCCAAGAAAATCAGTTGTTCTTTAAGTTGCTTCGTAATCGAAAATGTACGATATTTTTTGATGTACGAAGAATGCTGAACAAAAAATACCACTATCACACACTATAGTCTGTAATAAGGGACATTATTTATTCTTACTAGGCTATAAAATTAATTTGTTTCATTGTTTAATCTATTACGATAAGAAATAGTTAAGCTGTATTCGATACAAGGGCCATGGTTTAGGGTGAAATTCAGACGCGAGACTTAGCGCGAACATATGAAGAAGATAATAGACCACAAACAAGAAACTATGGGAGCGTTCGGAATAGTACAAAAAAAATCATTTTTAGATCAAGATTTAAACTTATGTGACGCCCTCAGGTAACTAGCAAATATACTACATTAGAAAACAGTTCATCATCGAGGATGCGACAACAACAGCTGGTAAAATAGGTACAGAAATCTTTGTTTTTGAATACCTATTCTTTATATGTACTTTCCATATCTTTATACATAGATCTTCTGTGCTTGTTTTTGTAGTAAAACCTCTATACGGCTGGAGTATGTTCTAGTGGATTCGAGATTGGCTTAGATTTGCAATGAGACAGGTCAATGTCTTATTTCTGTCGGTAGATTTCTGAATTTCACACCAATTATTAGTGATCGCTATTTCTAATATCTGAATGCTCTTTAGTACGAATAAATCGATTAAGACCGGTTCAATGACGCTCGGTCATTTAAAGAAAAAAATCCATAATTCATTTGATGAGAAAACTTCAAACCGGAACCTCATAGAGTCATGCTTCAGCGAGAGCTTGTTTATATATATTAGAAAATTTTATTCATAACTGTATTATGGCTAGAAATCATATTTCACAACAATTAGATCCATATTTTTTATATATCTACTTTGTCTAGGTATTTGTTTTTTACTGACATAAATTATAACAAAAAACAATTATACTATAGATATAGGCAAAGTTGGAATACATTAGGGAGCAACGCAATTTTTGGAGATTATTGACCCCCCCCCCATGTAACTCGCCGTAACGTTTTTCAGTACCCAAGTACAGTACTGTACCCAAGTATAGTAAAACGTTTCGTGACCACCTAGTGACTCTTTAGTTACTATTATGTTAAGCACTTGTTTTGGGTATGAAACTATCCCTTAAACAAAAGTAAAAACATAATACTGAGTGAGTCCATACAATTCGTAATTTTTCTTTGGAGAATTACGCTCTGTTATTGTTGCTTGATAACAAATGGTATGTTGGAGAGAAGAATAGGCCTGGATTTCTAATTAAAATTTTAGTAATAGTTAAATTCTTGTCAATAAGTATAAATGGAAAACTTTAATTTAAAATAATAACTTTAAATTAGGTTTAAAACCTCTCAATCAAAAATGTCGTGCATAAATAATTTCGTGTGACACAGATGTTTTACTTCTATTTAAAAACATGTTTGAATAAGGAATAAAAATTACGTGGAAACCCACTTCAACCCAAAAGTCGAAGGTGTGTTAAGCACCGAATGCCCAAAACTTAGTTTGAAAATTGCCCCATTTCCCAAACATTACCACGCACTACACCACTTCATACATTCACTGAGTTTTGTAAAATTAAAAACAAATTAGCACAATATTTATTACTCTCCTAGAAGTATAACTTTAGCATAGAAAACGTTCCAAGTAAGCTTCGTATATAGACTTTTTCGTTCGTTGCAATTTACGGAGCGTGAAATCTAATAACTTAAATGCTTTCAATCACGTGTTCACAATGCTCATTTTACAGTTGTTCAATAATTTAACGATAACTAAAAGATTTACCGTAGTATCAAAGAATATCAAAAACGTTGAAAAATTTCTATTTGAACGCTTAATCTTCCGCTGTACTTAGAGACTTCCATTTAATTATGTACCTCTAAAGGTGAGGTAGAAGAAGAAGTTCTACGTCGCGCCAAACCCTTAAGACCATTAAAAAGAAGAAGATAAGTTATTTGGGACATGTGCTTCGACAGGAACGGTACCGACTTCTTCAAGTCGTCATGATCGACGTCGAGAGGAAAAGACGCGGTGGCAGAAGGAGGAAGTCGTGGCTCCGCAATGTCAAAGAATGAACGGGAGTGGCCAGCGTAGAACACCTGATCAGCTTGGCGAAGAATATGTATGAAGTATGACGAGCTGACTGCCAACCTCCAGTAGTGGAGGGGCACTACAAGAAGAAGAAGAAAGGTCAGTACCTATGGGAAAATGGAAATTCGGCTATTCTCACAAGTTTTTATGTCTGATATAAAGAGGAACAGAACATATAAAAGCTTAATATGTGTTAATGACTATAGTTCAATATATATATTTATAATAGTTTTATAAAAACAAGTAAAAAACCAATATGGTCCACCAATTTGTGGTACAAGAATTTTTCATTCATGTTCGAAATTAAGTTCCGTAGTTTTTCCATAAGTTTGTTAATTATATTACGTAAGTAAGCACGATACGCAGGATGGTCAAAAAAGTACCGTTGCTATGAAAGGAAATTAGTTTATTTTGAATTTAACTTTTACTTGATGTATTCATAAGATTATTTTGGTATTTTTTGCGCTTAACTGAGAAATATTTGCACTATAAAGTATGCTAATTTAAGCTTTCCCTTAGCGGTTAAACTCAAACGAATCTCATTTATGTTCCATTTCCGTAAGATTAATGATATTCCTCGTAAGTAGGTAATTAGGATAGTAGATGTAAGGTTTTATGAAAATTGTAATCTAAGGCTTTATCGCCTTATTATTTGTATTTCTTTCTTATCGGTTTTATTAAGTATTTATTTCTTTAGATTTTTTCGGCTTTATTATTAGTATTATTTTTTTAGTTCTTTATGGAGATAAAATGCTGTGTACGACAAGGACCAACTCCATAAGTTCATAACGTGTCTAGACAGAGACTTATAAATTTGACTTTGACACATAAATGTCTGTCATCGTCAAATTTATTAGTAACGTAAGTAAGTTTTAACGGGAGAAAGATGGTCAATAACGAGTCATTAATTAAAGAACAGTTAAAAAATATATGGTCTGTCGAGCCCTTCGTCCATACCACACTCACAGAGAGAACTGTCTTTAACTTTAATTTTGGCTAGGTGAACGGGAGTACAAACGTGCCCTATACGAAGACGGCAGATTATAGTGTGTTGTCTTTATTGTGACGTCATTTTTGTTTTGGGTAACTCTGCTTATATTTATTAGATTAAATTCAATCTATCAAAATTATCAAATCTATCCTCACCCGCACCGTGTAAGACTTAGAACATGACATTGGCGGAATTGTGATTTACACAGAAGTCGCCATTATAAATAAAGTGAAGTGAAGTGAAGTTTTAACGGGAAGTGAACTCAGATTCTTCAGGTTATATATGTGCATCACTAAACTACAGAGGCAGTATAATAAGACTGAAGACTTGTACATACTTAAGTCGTAAATTTAATTTCAAAATATCCTTGCAAATTTAAATATACAAAAAAATACTAAAACCAGAAAAATCACTAAATGAGAATATAGTATGCTCAGTTCAGTTTATTTTCACAATTGCCATTACAAACACTGATGAAATAAAATAAAAAAATCTTATTAAAAAAATGGTACATACCAAAAAGATAAGCACGAGAGCGCAGCCTCCGGCGCTCGTCATGCTTGCAGTCTGCCACACTTGAGCGCGGAGCCGACCGTTAGTACTATCTGCCCCGATTACCCTGCTACCACGAAAAACAACTAAAGCAGTTAAAAAACAATCACCAAAACGCACTATCACGTATTATAAGCTCTCCGAAGCTTTGGAAGCGTGATGCGCCTGCGACGTCCGATGCCGGGACTGCACAGTGCGCCGCTCTCCAACGGTTATGGATGGGGGGTATCACCACCTGTACCCTACCGTTCTCACGACACGACCACTGATTCGCTTCGCTATTCAACAATCTCATGATCTACATTATTGATTGGCGTAGGATTTGAGGGAAGTAGGTTCGTTTGTTGCGGATCGCTACGGTCCCGTGACATTCGCGTCCAAATTCTACTTGACTCGATCGAGTGATAAGCTAAATACGCAATCGGTTTGAACTCACTGACTATCGATTTGATCCGTAATTATAGTAGAAAGTCAATCAAATAGAGATGAATGATAAACTTTTGATTCACTTACCTAAATATTTTAACCGTTTGTTTGTGTGTTAAACGTAATAGAACATTTATTTTGTATAAGGACTTAGTGAAGCCTTCAGCTGTAGTTTTAAATGTATGTGTGTTCCCTTTAGGGCATATCTAATGACTGGCCTTTACATAAATATAAATAAATCACAAAAATTATGTTTGTCCTAAGACACACAAGCTACTGGCTCTGTGACCCAAAAAGTCTTCGTCATTGTGTGTCATGTCATATCTATTCAAAAATGTATTGAAATATTAGTCGTAATAAAATTGCTAGTAACATAAAAATCACTTCATTTTTTTTTTGGTGATTCAAATAGATTCATACCACTTATAAAAGCGAATACAAACAATTCTGTTTTGGTTATCTTAATTCAGTTCGCATGGAGTTTTATTCAAACGGTTATTTAACTAAATGCGGCAATTATCATAAGATCTTATAAGGTTTGATGCGATTGGTAGGCAGCAAGCGATTCGTGACGGTGACTGGGCCCTTTTTTCCTCACAATGCCTTCCGTACTACCGTTTCTTATACTAATTAATAGTACAATGTATTCCTTTATAAGGTCATCAATGTATTCTTATGTTATACAGTTTTTTACTATAAAAATAGCATATATTGAATTGGTATTTGTTGTTACATATGGGATTAATAATTTACTCTGAATCTCGACTTTGCATCTTTATCTAACTCTGAGTATTAATTAGAGACGATATATTAGATTACTATAAAAAAATCAGTGGTGCTGTTTAGTTCTGGGCCATAGATTTCTGTATCCGTTTCATGATCTTTTGTTTATCTAATAGGCAAGTTGGTGATCAACCTCCTGACGCACGCCTTGGACTTTTTAGGTCTAAGGCAAGCCGGTTTCCTCACGATGTTTTCCTTCACCGTTCGAGCGAATGTTAAATGCGCACATAGAAAGAAAGTTCATTGGTGCACAGCTGGGGATCGAACCTAAGACCACTGAAGCCACTAGGCCAACACTGGTCATTAGATTACTATCGACGTAGGAAAGCATATTTGCTGTAAGTAGACAAAATACCTAAAGTGACTTTTTCCTGCCATTAGAATCAGAAAAAAAGCCGCATCGAATGACCTGGGTCCTGTGTCTCTACGTTGATAAAAAAAATTACATACGCCGTTGAAAACGCCCGTACTTATATTATTTTTAGCAAGATTATATGCTGTATGTAGACCAAAATCTAGTCATTTCAGACATTTTGCACTTACAGCAAAAAGAAAATCTGCATTTTTTTCTTTACAAATACTTACTTCTTCCCATTTAAAAACTTAACGCTACTTACAGCATTTCAGCGGCGTGTGATTTTTACATTCGTTTACTTACAGCAAGTTTAGGGAACCTACAGTTTTGGTTTTTTTTACCATTTACGACATTTTATTTCAATCAAACATTACATTACCAAATGACCCACTGCATTTCTAGATCTAATCATAATTATAAACTAATCTTACATCTTGAATTGCAATTAAAAGTACCCAAATACATAAATTTCCTGCATACAGCATATTTACCGCCTGTAAATTGATAATATTTCCGAGCGTACATTTTTCTTCCTTAGTTACAGCGTTTTAAAGGTTTGTGATTTAAAAAACTGTTTGCTGTAACTAGCCAAACACGTACTTATAGTAACTTTGGATAAAAAGTTTACATTGCAAATGGTGACTGGCAGTTTAATAAATATATGTTTCAAAAATGGTAGCAATATCATGGATAGGTCAGACACTATTAATTTTTTTCCGAAATTAATAAAGTTTTTTGGCTCTGGTGAACAATTGCAATATGTCTACTTACAGCAAATGTGCTTTCCTACGTCGCTATGGTGTATCTTATTTGTACTAAGATTATTATATAAATTAAAAGCTCCTTAATATAATGTTATTTGGACTAAGCTATCTGTTAGTTAAAAAATATTTATATTAAGTGTTTTAAATAATTTTACAGTTAGCGTGTGCGCAATGAACACATGACTCCAGGATGAAGGAAAACATCGTAAGGAAACCGGCATGTCTTAATATCTAAAAATTTACATGTGTCAAGCACATAATGATCAATTATCTATAAAAGATAAAAAAAGATGAAACAGGCACATTCTTATGCGCCACTAGATAATTATTGGGCCTAAAATTGATTCAATATTCCGATTTTTAATACGAAATATATTTGCTATGGAAAGTGTCAACTGTCATTTGTTTCGATGTTAGTCGTGACCGCAACGCAGTTGGTTTACATTTTGGAAGTAGATGCCGTAAAACGAGCGCATCAAATATTTGTTTACTTTTTACTAGTTTTTGGAACTTTGACAACATTTGTATCATTAATAATATATCCTTTATTTGCAATAAAGGCGGAATATTACGATGGATTAATTGAAAAAAAAAAACGTGTGTGTATTTATGTACACGCGTTAGAAGTTATACTTCTTTGGCGTAACAAGATAAAAATCACTTCAAAATTTTTATCTTTCGCCTTATTCTACATTTGTAGAAAAAACGACACTAACAATAGAAACAATTTACTCTCATCATTTTTCCCTAACGCGCCAAAAGAAGTATAACTTCAAAAAACACACAATCAGCCATGTTAAACTAGCATGGAATAGCCTAATAATTATAATTCAAAGCAATTAAATTATATGTTTATATTCTAAGTTAGTATCTCAAAACTTATCTAAACACTCTCACACATTATAGCAACAGCGATTGGAGCGTGAAAATGGGCTTAAATTCTAATATATATTTATGATACTTTAAAATATAAATAAAAAATGGTAATAAAATAATATTTTGATCAAAGTCCTTTGTTTGATCAATTTTTGATAAATTTGTGTGTATTTATTTTGGAATATAAACCCAACAATGTCAAGTAAGCAACGCCAGTATGTTTGCAGTAAAGCAAATGCTGGGTTACTTAAATAAATCTTGACTTCATAGACTATTGTGGCTGGTTTGTAGGCTATTGCATCGTTTTCGAAAGTGGGTTTCGTAAGGTCTCTAGGGCTCCACGATTTTACTAAATATTGTGATTTTCGTTATACTACTATATAATATATATCCGTAAATTTAAGCTGAAGAGTTGTTTTGTTTTGGTTGAACGCGTTTATGTCAGGAACTACGGGTTCGAATTGAAACAATATTTTTGAGTTGGATAGGCCATTTATTGAGAAAAACAACACAAAAATAATATCGTTACAGCTAGCGCGTGCGCATTGAACAATTGCGCCTCCGGTGAAGGCAAACATCGTAAGAAAACAGGCATGTCTTAATATTAAAAAAAATACATAGCACAGAATTATCATTTATAAAAATAAAAAAAGATCAAACGGACACATTCTGTGGCCCATAAAGAGTTGTAGCGCCAAAATATTAGTATTATAGATTCAGTTACTTATTGATTTAATATTCCGATTTCCAATATTCGGTAAACATAAGAATTGAGAAAGGATAATATTATTATAAAATCGCAAGGACCGAATTATACAATTTTACTGTATTATGTGTATATGCGTCTTCGTTTCCATAGAAACGACAACGTACAAATAAGTATCAAAAATTTCACTATTGTGTCATTCAGTAATAATGTTTCTGGAGGTAGAATTTCCAAAACTTATGCAGTAATTCCAGTACCATACAAATAAACTTATTTTACGTTTACCTTTTTTAACATGAAGTATTCAACCTAAAATTAAAGCGCATAATATTAAACTGTAAAGCAACTTTTTAAAAAGTTTCCATTTAGAGCAGACTATTCCAATTTTGAAAAATAAAAATAATACTTTAGTTTTTTTTTTATTTACGCATTAAAACCTTTTTTCGCCGATTTAAATGTACCTTTGTAATTTCATAGAGAATTTGGGGAAGTTTTTAGGTTTAAGAACTTTACGCGTATAACATCGTAATGTCACTACCTGTTTGCTTTCGCCAACATTTCCTTCCTACAAAAACAGTGAGATACAAATTACAGTCTAGCAAGTCAGTTACTCGGGCAAATACATTCAGGTTATATGAAATGAGGTCGCATTACTATAATGATAGTGTCGCCAACAGGACGCATTTGTAATTGGATTTTGTATAAGATAAAGTTAGATATTTCCATGCAAAATGCGTAAACTGAAATTCCGAAAGCATTTGATTGGGTGCGTTAAGATAAATAAAACAAACAAATCGTTAAACTGTTCGAATGATGATAAGGTGTTTTTTTTTAAATAGACATAACATTAATTACAAACAAAAACACACACACATAAAGGCACAAAATATAAAAAATCAAAGAAAAAAATAAAATGAGAGATATCAAAGACTCGGTTCGTTTCAAGTGTGTAATGCGTGTGTAATTGGAGATCAAAACTTAACGAAGCCTATACATGTATATAACCAAATAATAAGTGTTTGATAATAACTAAATACACAGCTAAATTAATTTTGACGTGAATAGTCGCGACACAGCTAAAATCAGAGGCCGTTCA